TTTTCGATTAATTTTATAAAAATCTTCATGAAGTAATTCATCTTTTGTAAAAGTACCTTGAAGAGAAGCAACAATTAAAGCTGCATAATAACGACAACAATCAATGGCCTTCTTATCACCATGTGTTATTTTTGCACTTATTCCTGAATATTCAATGGCTTTCGAAGGATTTTGATAGAAGAAAAGTGGAACAGGTGAAAGACGCATCAAAGCTCCATTTCCTGCAACACCATCGTTACTACAATTAACATTGAATTTGTCAAGTAATTCTTTATTTTCACTTAATTGATCGATTTCATCAAGATCAATTTGATTTTCTTGTGCAAATTTCTTTTGACGCGATTCAAATTCTTGAATTGATTGTCTCGTTGCTGTTCCAATATCAAAACATTGTCCTGTCGATGACATATATCCATGTCGATACCACCATTTATATCGAACTAATTGATCATATGGGATAAAATCTTGACAAACAATTAATGAAATCGCTAAACAAATTGCCATTGATGTATCATCAGTGAACTAAAACAAATAAAGAATTGTTTTTCTTTTAGAAATTCTATTTCGAAAATCTAACTTGTCCTTTTTCCAAACCCCATGTTCCACCACCTTGAAGATCTTTAACGGGATTTTCTTTTAAATAAGTTTGTGGTCGAAATTCAACATGAGCCCCAAGTGCATCGCCAATGGCCAATCCAAATAAAGAACCTTTGATACCATTGAGAATTCGTTGATCGATTGAAAGTTTTGAAATAAGAACTTTGTTTTCATTCGTCAAATCGATTTCATCTGGTTTTATTATTTGTTGACGATTAGTTTCATCATGAAATTGCAGATCAAAGCACTTTGTATCCATTATTCGAGTTTTTCCTCGAAAATCTTCTTTTTTTCTTCGCTGTAAGAAATGAAAAGAAAACGATGTCGACTTACCTTTTTATATTGGTTTCTTCCAACAAGAAAGTGTCACATGGATAGAGAAAAATAATTCTAGTCGAGACAAGTTTTTTTCTTCTTCCGAGATAACCTTATCGCTTTACAATGTTATTTTACTTCTGTGTGCTCTTTTGAAGAGTTCTTTCGTGTTTATTTTAGGTTTTAACAAGAAAAATACAATTGAAATCACACTGAAAAAATCTCTGTCGATGTGAAAACTGATTTTTTGCAGTAGTGTCAAATTTGAAACTTGAATTCGAATATTCAATTAATCGATAGCTCTGATTTCCCGATTTGTTGGAGAGTGCGTAAATGCACTGGTAGCGTGGGTACCAAATGCACGACAATAATCAAACTGGGAAAACGAACATTTTCTTCTGGGCTTCTGATACTGTATGTTCTTCAATCGGATGAAAGCGGAAAAGAAGTCGAGACAGTCTGTAAAATTGATTGTTCATTAGGATTTAATTCGCTTTTTACGAATAAAGGTCGTTCACTATTATTTGCTGTGGAACAGGCTCTATGCTAAGCTACCTTAACCTATCCTAACCTATGTTAATGTATGTTATTTAGAAGATTGGATGATTTGGTGATATTGTTTTTTCTGTGATGATTATGCATTGCGTGCACTCATGATCAGGACACCAGGGTATTTTTTGGAACAGCCTTGACGGCAAGCTTTTTTTGTTGTGCATCGATGTTGCGCGAGGGCTGTTTTTGGTGTTTTGACAATATTATGACAATGTACGCATTGTATTTGCTGGCGTTTGGAGTCGAAGTGCTTTTCTTTGTCTTGGTTGTAGTTTGGTTGAATCTTGCGCATCTTTGCTTATGCTGATTTTTTATCGAATGTATCTAGTATTCGTTTTTGTGCTTTTAGTTTCCAATTAACACTTTTTAGCAATATCACTTCAAGAGAAAGCTCGTGGGAGGTGTCATCTACTGGCCTTTGTTGAATCTGGATGCAGCCGGTGCATGTGGTTTTGTTTGGACACCATGTCATTTGTTTGAATAGCTCCCCGCACAGTGGTATGTAGGCTTTTACGTCTGTCCTTTTAATACCTGATGGTGGACACGAGTGATAGGTACGGCGATGCGGATATTTTTTATCTGGAGATATCTCTTTTTTACAATGAGTGCATATAATTATTTCGGTCATAAGGTTATATTTTTTAGGTGCAGTGCTCTGTCTGTCGCCGATTGGCCTTTTCGAAGGGCCTCTCTGTAGCCTATGTCAAGATGGGGATGATCGCGGATGTCTTTCTCAATTTCTTCACAATATTGTTTTAGATTCTCGACTGGTATGTCAAAACTTCAGATATATGTTGCCCCTGAATCAGTTCGATGCTTCCATTTTGAAGGTAGAATGATGGAATCGTTAGGAAGTACTAGTTGTGCAACGTCGAAGCTATGTGGATTCACTTTCTCGTTATTTTCAGCAAGTGAAATAAAAATCTTATCTAGAGCAGGATTTTCAATGCGTAGTTTATCTAATAGCTCACAAATCTTGGCTGGTCCACCGTCTATCGTTCGTAAATGTTGATTGGTTTTCAACCATAGAAGAAATTCGGACTGATCGAAATATGCAGTTTTGCGAAAAGATTCATGGGAATCTAATACTATTGTATCTACGCGTGTCTTTTTATCGATTGGTATGTCTGGCGATCTGAATCTTTTGTTGCTTGCTTTCGCTTCTACATCTACAATTATATTATCTAATAAGATCGACTCATTTAACATATCGCTACTCATGCTTTCTTCGCTTTCCTTATTCTCATCATTCTCATATAATGTTAAATTTAAGATCTCTGATGATCTCACTACTGCCGTGTCCTCTATTGCTAAACTATTCTCAAGAAACAAACTATGTGACGCAGCAAGAGAGATAAACCAGGAACGAAGCGCTTGTTCATATTTCCATTGGCCAGTGGTTGATGGATGTAATCCGTCTTCCACGCGCATATCCCCTGATCCTAAGCACGCATCAACAACATCAAAATCCAATTGCTTGGATAAGATCTGAAGACGCTCATTGAATTGGCGGTGAAAATCTCCGATGTCTGTCGCCGAGATCAATCTCGTTGGTTTCCATCTTGGAGATAACGCCAACTAACCAATCGCTCGGATATTAGAGAATGACTGACGAATGAATGATATGATTTCACTACAACGCTCCAAGGAAATATCTACTCGATGCCGTGCCACATCATTGGTACCTAACGAAAAAACGATGAAATCTTTATTTGTTACCTGGTTAATGCCATCATGCGTTCTGAACCATTTAATCATTTTATAAATGTCACAGCCAGATTCATAAGATAGTTCAATATCAATTAAATTAAATTTTTTAATCATGTAAGTACGTATACGAGAACACATGGAATCCGATAATATAATCCCTTTGAATTTGTTATCATTATCGTCCTTGTGATTGTAAGTATCATTAGTAACTTTAGATGTTGACAAGCGACAAGAATTTCGATGACGTCTATGATGACATTTCATGTTTGATGGTAACTTTTGAGTACTTGAATGTAATGGTGAACTGGAACGTGATTTCGATGATAATTTTGATAATATTTCGAAGCGATTAATTAAACAATGGTATCGTTGCATCGTCAGTTTTTATTTTTGTAACATTTTTCGCACGATAAATATCATGACGTGCACGTGGATTCGAATTTGTCTGATTATCATAGCATATAATGGTCAATTTGCGAAGGAAAACGTAGTGAATCATGCTGTTGACGTTGATTAGTAATGTTGGTGTACCTGCCTGAAATTTAGAATGAAAACTTTTATAGGAAAGGTTTGAATTTGTACCAAAAAATGAAACACAAGACATAATGTGTTAGCGACAACAGTTAGTAGATAGTTATCGCTAACCTTCTCTCTTTCATGTTCTGTCATCACACGTCTCTCATCTGGTTCAATATCACATGGAGATCCTTTTTCTTTTCGTTCTTCTCGTTTTCTATATTTCGTTCGCTATGTTCTCTATTGTTCGTGTCCCCTGTCTGACCGCTCTGTGAACTTGTGTGATCGGTCAGGCAGTTCTCTTTGATCTACGATTGAAGTCAGTCGTGTTTTGTTTTTTCTCTCGTCGATTAAATAAACATCATCACGAAGATCTCGTTCCATCTGTTCAACTCTGCCAATCACGAAGTAGGACAACCACACACCCACTAACCGGAACCGGTACAGATCTCGGCTCTCTGTTGTTTCCGTTCGGTCTATTAACGTCTAGTGGGCAGGAGTCTTGGATCAGTAACGGAAAAGCTAACATGATGAACGTGAATAAATAATAATTTGTTAAATAAGAAAAGATTTTTTTATTTTTTAAAGTGAAAATACTGAAAAGCTTTTTTTAGAATGAGCGATAAATTGAGAAAAATCCTTTTAGTCTTGAAAGAAAGCAATATTGAAATTTGAATAACTAGAGAGAGAAAAAACGTCAAACTTGAATTTTTACGATGATTTTTTAGTCTTTTTATACATGTTTTTTAAAGAATAAATAATTAAATAATTAAATAAATAGGTGAATGGTATATCACGAAGTGAGTAAGTTGATAGCAATTGGTGGCGAGACGTTTGTGAATAGTTGTCTTTCGACTGTAATCGACTGTTCAGTCTCTTTTTCTTTTATACAGAAGTGATGCTCTTTATTTTCGTCTAATTGATTAATAACCTTCTATTGATATTTCTTCATAGAATAGACGGGACCTATCGCGAACATGTCAAATACCGAAACGGCTATACAAGTGAGAGTGCATGTACACATCAAACACGGAAGTATCATTGGATGACGACACAGTATTGCGTAACATTGCCGCTTTTGAATTCTGTAAGCGATTTACTTGTCATAAAAGACGGTGACCTAATTCTGAATCGAATTGGCCAGGTCCAATGCACGAAAAAGTCTTCCGAAGAACAAGTCTCTCTCTCTGAATAGCCACGCTGACGCATGTAGTGATGCATTGAAAAGAAAATATCTATGGCATTTTTTTACTCTGCTACGAGATCTATTTTATACATGTGTGTGTATTATGAACATAAACAACACATACCAAATCCAACTATCATGATTCGTGCTCTTACACATGATTTTCTCATATGTATTAGAGAACAAATATTCCAACAAGCTTCATTTATTTTCTGTGCTACAGGTAATAAGTCTCTTACATACAATGATCTATTTACTTTCAGTACCGATATTAAAAGTGCCATAGTCGCCTCGTGCACATCGGCTGACGATGAATTAGACCTACACGAAGGTTTGAAACAACATAAGAACGACAGTCCAGATCCCGGTAGTTTCTCTCGTTATACATTACCACGTCTAAATGAAGTATTGAAGATGCGTTCAAACGCATTTAAAGATGATTTTGTGGAATCAAAATGTTCTTTTGAATAACAAATCTGATTTTAATCATTTAAGTCTTTCTTAATCTTCATTTGATTGATCAAAGATTTGGTCTGTTTTACAGAAGATTTACTTTTCTTATCGAAATTATGAAAGAGAATAATGAAGAGATCAAATTCTTATCAAACAAAATTCGAAAATCGATCGAATTTTGTCTCTGAAATTTATTTTTGAAGGTTTTTCCGTTTCCAAAATTTCCTTTTTTTATCCTTGAAGAGTTTCACAATTTGTGCCAGAGAATTGTGATCCACAATAACAGAAATACGAATTTCCATTATTATAACATGGACGATTGTTTCGACACGGATTCTGGGCACAAGTGATTCCAGCTAAATGAAGAGTTTCTCAAAAATTGGAAGAAATAAGAAGAAAAAAAACTGAACCTGGAGGAGAAGTTGATGATTGTCCCGGATTTATTGGAGGATTTGTTTGACCAGGAAATAATGTTGCAGTTGATTGAGGAGGATTAACTGTTGGATTTGTTTGACCAGGAACAACTGAAATTGAATATTCAATTTGAATTTGAAAAGAAAAAACAAAAGAAATATTTCACCTGTTCCTCCAACAGCATTTTCACATTGATCACCGGTATGTGTTGATGGACATTGACAACGTGCTCGATTATTTTCAACAACACATGATCCCGAATTACAATAACCATCAGGTAAATAAGAACAAATAATATCAGTTGTTGTTGAACCTGTAGTTGTTGTTATTGTTGTTGTTGTTGTTGTCGGTGGTGCTGTTGTTGTTTCTTGTTGTTGACAACGAGATCCTTCATAACCTGTTCCTTTACAATCACATTTGGGTTCTTTGCTTAGTCCATCACCCTCAACTGTACAAACACCACTATTGTAACAATAGTTAAAACAGACTAAAGATATAAGAGGAAGTTTTAGAAAAAAAGAAATGTTTAAATGAATTTTACCTGAATATTCTCCACAACGTGTTCCGTCAAATGGATATGGACATTTACACGCTAATTTCTTTGTAGTTTCATCTAGATAACATACACCAGCATTTTTACATAAATCAGGAACAAAAGTACACGGTGTATTTCTTGTCATGATTCGACTCATCAATGGAACTTTTTCATTTGATTTTCGAATTAAATTACAATGTTCACCTTCCCATTCAGGTAAACAATAACATATTGGTTGATCATTTTCAATTAAACAAATTCCATTCTCATTCGAACAATAGTTCAAACATCTTGGATCATTTGATGGATATGATTGAACCAAATTTTGACACAACAATATTCCAAAGACGGTCAATTGAACAAACATCTTTTCTTTCTTTTTCAAATTGGGATCGGAAAAAGAATTTGTTATTCGTGTGTTTTTATACGAAATCTTCTATTTAAAGATGATTTTGTGGAATCAAAATGTTCTTTTGAATAACAAATCGGATTTTAATCATTTAAGTCTTTCTTAATCTTCATTTGATTGATCAAAGATTTGTTTTGTTTTACAGAAGATTTACTTTTTTTATCGAAATTATGAAAGAGAATAATGAAGAGATCAAATTCTTGTCAAACAAAATTCGTAAATCGATCGAATTTTGTCTTCGAACTTTATTTTTGAAGATTTTTCGGTTTCAAGACAAAAAGAGAAAATCGGATTTATCCTTGACGAACTTCACAATTTATGCCAGAGAATTGTGATCCACAATAACAGAAATACGAATTTCCATTGTTATAACATGGACGATTGTTTCGACAAGGATTTTGGGCACAATTGACTCCAGCTAAATGAAGAGTTTCTCAAAAATTCGAGGAAATAAGAAGAAGAAAAACTGAACCTGGAGGAACAGCTGATGATTGTCCTGGATTTATTGAAGGATTTGTTTGACCAGGGAGCAACGTTGGATTGGGAGTTGGTGAATTTGCTCCTCCTTTAAAATCATTTCGAAAATTTCAAGAAACCAATTTAAACAAAATAGAAGTTTTACCTAATATAGGTTCATCACAAAAATCTCCTTGATATCCTAATCCACAAATACATTTCGGACGACCATTAACAATGATACATGACCCTTGATTACACATTTCTTTCATTGGTGCACAACGGGGATCGAGTGTTGTTACTGGTGGTATTGTTGTTTCAGCTCTTCCACATTGTAGACCCTCAAAACCTGTCCCATTACAAATACAGAAAGGATCTCCATCTGGATTTAATTTGCATAAGCCATTGTTTTTGCAAAATCCAACACACGCTACAAATCGAATTTGAAATGAAATTTCAAAGAAAATCTGAAAAAACATACGTGATTGTTCTTTGCATCGTCTTCCAGTAAATTCTGGTTTACATTCGCATGAATATGAATTATTTAGAAATCTGCAAATACCACCATTTAAACACATATTTGGAGGTGCTAATAAACATTCTGGACTTCGTACACTTGATCTTTCCATAACTTCTCCTTCTCCTTCTTCTTCTTCTTCAACAGAGAAATTTTCTTGTCGAACTAAATCACATCGTTCACCTTCCCATTCAGGTAAACAATAACAAACAGGTTCATCTTGTTTAATAACACATACGGCCTCGTTTGAACAATAATCTTTGCATTTATTTGATGGATAAGCAATTACCAATGGAAGAAAAACGCAAATGAAGAGTCGAACGAACATTTTTTCCTTTTTTCGAATGATGAAAATCTCATCGATTTATATATTTGACAGATTTATTTGGATTTGAATTTCAACTTTGAAAAGATTTATTTGATAAAAACAATATTTTAATCAGAAAATCAACGAAAAGATTAAAAATCCTTTTTCTTCTTTTTGAACTTTATTAATCTGTAAATGAATAGAAAAATATTTTTTTCTCCTTGATCAATTCCAATACAAAAGAAGAAAATTTTGTTTTTTTATTTTCCAATCCAAAATCGATAATTCAACAAAATCGAATAATCTGGTTTTTCAATGCGATGAAATTCTTCAATTGTTCGTTTTCCTTGTTTTATTTGACATTTAACACAAGAACATTTCTCTTCAGGATAAATACTTCCAAATAATTGATCCCAAATTTTAAAAAAGAATCCCGTATGATATGGACGATTCTTTGTTGATACTGCATGATGTAAATAATGTTGATAGGATGTATTTAATAACCAATGATGAGCATCTGGATAGGAAAACTCATATCCCCAATGAAGATAAATTCCATAACCATAAAAAAATATTGAAAATTGAAAAAAAAGTAAATCAATATTTATTGGAATTAATAATGGAATTAATAATAATGGTGATGAACCAATGATTTGATCAATATAATCTTCAGCTATAACGGAAAATGGTGATGGATTATAAAATTGATGATGAGACTTATGAATATTCCATAATGAATCTATTTTATGTCCCAATCGATGATAATAAAATTCAAATAAATCAACAAATAACCAACTAAGAAAAAAAGATAAAGTGAAATAAATCCAACCATATTGATCAATTCCACAATAACTTTCAATTTTCTTTTTTGATATTAAATATAATGTTAATGATGGACAAAATGTTCCTGAAAAAATTCCTTTTAACATTAAAAGAATTTCTGTTCGAATATTTTCTGGACTTGGATATTTTGGATTTGTTTTTTTTAACCATTTTTCATATGTTATATTAACATATGAATAATAAAATATAATTGATGTTAATATCATTATTGAAATAAATCCAATTAAACTTAAAATAAACCATGTCCAAAGAAAATGATTTCCAAAATATGAACTGATTTCACATAACATTTTCTTTTTTGTTTATTTCACCATTGAATCTCTCACGCCATACTTTTATATATTCATCGATAAGAATAACAAAAGTAAATTTTTCTTTCTGTCTGCATCACATAAGTCGAAGAAGACGATGACACGTGTTCTTCTTTATACTGTAAATATACGAAAAAGAGAATCAGTAACTTCATTTATACTTCAAATCAACTATAAACATTGAATAAACTAATTTTCTTGAAAACGTTATGAATTGAAAATCAATTTCAGTTTTTTTTGTATTCAATGATTGTTTAAAATATTCAAACCATCTTCATTAATAATAACTTTATCTTAATTATCTCCTTGATATTAATGTCAGATTTGATGTTCTACCTGATATACAATGTATATTTCACATAAATAATCTCTTGTGAATCCTAAAGAACTTATTTACAAATCTGAAATATAAACTGAATAATCGTTATCAATAATTATAAAAGTAAGATCATTAAACTGATTTAGTAGCTTTCTTCTTTCATTTTCTATTAAATATGAACAGTCAAACGTGTTAGTAAGACCATCAATTTTTCTTCCATTTCTTTCTTTTTATATTTTCATTATCGTTGAAAGCACGACTTTTCATAAACACCCATTCAGTTTCTGAATTGACCTTTTTTCTCTGATGTTTCTTGTTAATTGTGATATCATAAAGAATGAATGATATTCTCTCTGTGATGATACATTTCAAAATACTTAACAAATCGGAACATCATTTAAATATAGTGCGTTCACACAATAGATAAGATAAAGTTAACGAAAGTTATTCGAAATAAAGATTTATAATAAAAACGATTCAAAATCGATAGAAATTCTATGATATTCATCGCCGTCAAGTTAATTTTTTTCGTATTTTATAGATCAGTGTACAATGTACCGTAAACCGTTTTTTTTTATCGCGTATTTATAAATATTATTTTTGATGCTTTTTTTCCAACACTTCACTTTGATTTTATACACACAAAAAACTCTATTCGCTTCTTATTGATTCTATCGCTCTTTTATTTTTCTCTTCTGCGTTGTCTGTGGTCGAAAGAATATCCGATAGATGCTGCATAAACATTAATACTGTTGACGATATGTCATTTTTTTATGTCTAGTTTTTTCTTTTTTATTCTAATATAAGAAAGCGGCGACAGTTGTTCTTCTCTCGTTTCCGCTTTTATATAGACTTTGAGAAAAATAGAAATCCACCATAAAATCAGACAGCAGAATATAGAAAAATATGAAAACCATCCTTGCCTTTTCTCCAATTGTCTCCAACTAGAGATATCACACTTCGTATTTTCTATATTTATACTTCGAAAACAATTGTAAGTCCTGGTTTGTGATTTTCTGCCTTTTCTCTTTTCTTCAGAGACGTTTCTTTCTATGCCTTTTTCTCTTTTATGCTAATAAACAATATGAAAGAAATTCTTTCTTTTAAACGGTCAGAGGAGTAGAGTGGGCAGGTCGTGGTAAATGTTTTTCCGTTTTGAAAATGGAATGATTTGTCAAAAAATAGCTACAGTAAAGTGCAGTTTTCGTCGAAGAATATTGTGCTTCAAAGAAATCATGAGATTCACATAATTTATCTATCGATCAAAATCTATAATAAGAAAAACCAACGAGCTTTTTGAGGTACTTTGAATGATTCATGATTTATTTTGAAAAAATAGTTCGTGATCTTCTGGTTGTGTTTAGAAAGAATATTTATTGCTTCTTGGAGAACAATATCATACTGACTACCTTATTATCTAGGGTTGTTAAAAGAGTCTCTGCGACGCCAGCGAAAAAAATTTTCTCGTTTTGTTTTTGAAATTGATCCATCTGGTTCAAACAATGAAATTTAAAATATTAAATCATTTATGGTGCAATTAGTAAAAGCGGAAGCGAAAATGTACTTTCGAATTTAGACGCGAGTGCGAGGATGAAAATATGATTTTCGTGGAGCGAATTCTCTGTTTGCATCATGCATTCGTATCTATAAAGTAGATTCTATCGTTAATAAACTGGAACTTGTTTTTTTGATGTGTACATCTTTGATTTTGAAAGAAAGGAACATTTTTCTTGATAGTCTCTCGCACTAATTTTGTTTTTCAAAGTTGAATGAATATTCAGTTGTTGCTTTATTTCAGATAAACAAAAACAAATCTATTTATTATCAGCAGTGGCAAAGTTCTACAATAGCAGAATTCTAGAATTTTGCTAAAATGTATAATTATTAGTTTCTTATTTAACAAGTATAAGAAAAACAAAATTCTTCAGAAAACTACTTCTTTACATCAGAATTGTGCATCTACGCGTGTCGACTGTAGTATGAATATAAAAGATCTAAGCAGAATTGTTTTTCACAGCAGAATTCATCCAGAATTTTGGATTCTCTNAATAATAAAATATAATTGATGTTAATATCATTATTGAAATAAATCCAATTAAACTTAAAATAAACCATGTCCAAAGAAAATGATTTCCAAAATATGAACTGATTTCACATAACATTTTTATATACAATGAAAGTCTATACGACATCACACCATACTTTTATATTTGTATACAGAACGATCGATAAGAAAAGAAGAAAAAAAAGTGTTTACATTCTTTCTTTCCTTAACATATATTAGGTAAAAGAATACACGTGGTCAGAAAATGTTCTGTTCTAATCGCTATACAAAAAAAAATCATAATTGAAGACAAGAATATTTGTAATTGTATAGAATTCTATAAAGAATTTTTTTCTATTCAATTATTTAGATACAAACAATGAAAAAATAACGATTACGTATAATATTTACTGTTGAAATATGAAGGCTAAGAAATAGTGTCGTTTGTATAGTTTTGTTCAAAAAATTTGAAGAAACTTTTCTCAATCTCCACATAATAGTAATAAGAGTATAGTCTCCAAACAAAAATTTACATGAGAATTGATTGTTATTATATTGTTTTGAATATGTATTCATATCGCCATTGAATAGATGTATGTATATACTATATGTTGGAAGAAAAGCAAGAAGAAAAGGAAAATATCATACATTACAATATATGTTTTCATTTTATTCGTCTCTTTTCTCAATACATTCGATAAAAGCGTTACTTATGACAAAAAATATGTTTATATATGTGGTTGTATATTTCAAGGAATAGATAAGAGAGGATAAGATATATATACTTTGATAAATATTCCATGATATGGAAAACTTTCCATCTCATACAAAGCTCTATGATATATATGAATATCATTCATAGATATTATATAAACGTACATATTTTATGTCAAAATTCTGATAATGTTATGAACTAAGATAAGATAAGATGAGATTTTATTTGTTTCTCATGTTTTTTAATAATTCATGTTCCTGACGTTCATAGAAAAATATATAGAGAATAAGTTATGTAAAAGTTGTCATTAAATTTGTTTTAATAATTGTGAATTCGATATAAATCTTCTCTGTATTTCTATTTTTGCTTATTGTCTATTCAAAATGAATATTGAATTTTTTTCTTCTGTCTTCAGATTGAATTTCTAATATAGTTACTTCATCACTATAATATCTTATTCTCCTTATAAATAATCTGTAAATTATTCTAAAATGAACAATGAAAAGTATATTTCAAAAGATTTTTGATATAGTATTTAAATAATCAGAAAAGTTGATGTTTATTATAGATAAAAATGAATGTAGTTCAAATTTCTATTGCATTTCTGTTACTGATGTTGACGTTTTCAATTTTGACTACTTGTAATGATTTAATTACTATTGATTCAGAACAAACGTTCAATATTAAGGAAACGAAATTATCAAGAAGAAAAAAAGACGCTTTTGGTGGACGAGCGATATTGAATATAATAGATAAATCTTTAAATATGCTGATGAATTTTGGCAATAGAAATCTTACTGGTGCTGTTTCGGATCTTACGTCGCTTCCTGAACTAGTTCTTGCCTATAAATCTACGTCAACATGTGCACTAGAGGAAAAACTAAATACAATTTTGAATAAACTTGAGAAAAATGCACAAACAATTAAGCAGATTCCCTTTCATAATGAATGTCTACACATAAAAGAGAGATATGTTACACTCTCAGATAATATACAAAGATTATTAAGACTTTATCGTACGTTTCTTAAAAACGAAGATAATAGAGAATAAGCAAGACATCAAACAAATATGACATGTCTAAAGGATGCAAATGGAATTGGTTTTCTTAGAAGTTGCACTCATTATGAATCAAATCTCATTACTCAATGGAAAGAAAAAATAAAACAGTTAGCATGTGATATTGTATTCTTGATAAAACGATGTGAAGAAATGCATGGTGGTTTAACAAAATTAGATCCTAATAGATTTGCAAATGAAGTAGAAAAAATCCTTGAATATTACAGTGAAACCACTACTTTAAAAGAGTTTGTAAATGACAAGGGATCGTATGCCTTAAGAAATGTTGTCAAAAGGATTTTAAATGAAACTAAATCTCCTGATAAAACTAAAAATTTTAAATAATAAGTTTAGTTATTTTAATTGGGATGTCATCTCCTATCCTTCAAAAATCACAGAAGAAGATCATGGAATCATTTACTATCATGAGTCGTCACATTGTGGCTCAATATTCTTTAAACGTGAATTTTATTATGAAAGAAATATATTAGTATCATGGTGTATTCCAAACAACAAGAATTCCTATAATATTAGTGAAGAATTATATGAGAAGAACGCACAAACAACTGCACTGAAATTTTATCGTGCAAACGACGAAAAGTTAAATAATGTTTTAGTGACGAGCTACGGTGACTGTGACCGCTGGGGCAGTATTTATTCCTACATGAAGCATGGTGTACCGACCGAATTAGACTATAATGGAGCGGGAGACCAATGTTATCATTGGTATGAAGGTCAACAATGCATGGTTTACAACAGGAAGATGATTTTTAAGAAGAATTATGATTCACTTTGTCGATGCTCATATAGTATATTCGCATCGTGGTAGACTGATGACATCGAAATGAAAAAGTCCGAATTCTCAATCGATTCACTCATTTTCAAGCAAGGTCGAATACGAGTAAAAACTCAATATAACATCAGACTATTTGGTCATTATAAACAATATATGGAAAAAGATGATTATAATTGCTTTGAAACATGTAAATCGGAAAAGCAATGTACTGCCGCTACATTCTATGCACCATACTTACACAATTGCATACTTACACAATTGCATTTTTTCACAAGAGGATTCACCAAAATTATTGAATCAGATTGGATAGCATATATCAAAGATCAACGTAGGAATTGACAGAGTTTTAATACTAAAACTATATCTCTATCTATTTCCAGTCAAATGAGTTTATATACGAATTTATCCATCTTTCACATTTCTCTTTCGTTACGATTAAAAATGTCATTTTTTCTTCAGTTAGATAATGAGAATTGATGAAACTATCCGAACCTATCTAAATGATTCAGGTTATGCTGGCGATTGGACCGACGAAATGGTTAGAGATCATGACGTGCGTATATGCGTTGGATTGCCTTTGTGGATCTGGGTATTTACAGTTACTATGATCATGAGTGGGAAACTGAATATGTATCTTTTATTTACTTTCATGTTGTTTTCGTTCAGTTTTTGACACATATGACTAAAACATATATCCTACTCTCCTTAACTAACATCTAATCTTAATAAAAAGAATTTCTACCTTAATCACTCTTATTATTCTACATATCTTCCTTCATATCCTCTAGATAATATTATGTTGATATTTGTGATTTAATTCAAATCTTTAATAGTATAGAAAAAAAGGAGAGCAAAATTAGAGAACTTGTCCTTGTTTATCACCCCACCATTGAAGAAGAAAATTTTCAATTGTTGTTGGTTGAACTTGTGGACATTTTTTGTTTAAAGTATCTTCATAATCAAATTCTCCTTGTATTAAACTTACATGAACTTGATACATAAATTTCTTCATAATATCATCATTTGTATCTTTTGCAAGTTGAACAACTTCATCTATAGATGAATATTTTACATGAAATTGTTTTCCTCGAATTTTCTCTCCTAATTTGATTAATTCATTCCATGTAATTCGACTTCCAATCATACCTGTATATTCATCCCATTTATCAAGATCAAGTGCAGCAGCAACAAATTTACCCACATCATCAGCACGAGTAATACAAAATGGTTCATTTCCTGTTCCAAAAAGATCTGCTTGACATTTATTAAAATCTATACCAACAGTAAGAGAAGGTAATGATGCACTTGCTCGTTGTGGTGATGCAAAATAATCCATAAAAATTCCATTAACAAATATTGTATATTCAATTCCAGAAGCTTTCACCTTTTCTCGAACAGGTAATTTGAGAAATTTATAAAGTTCAATAGGACTCGTTTCTTCATGTTTTCCAGCCCATTCTGATGGGGCAAATCGTTTCACTTTCGCTTCTAATGAAGCATTAAGAAGATTTATTTGAGAATAAATTGATGATTCATCAAGAGAAATTAATGTCACAATTACAGTGTGAACTCCTTGTAATTCTTTTACCAATAATTCATGATTGGAATAATCAACTTGAACAACAATAACACCTTTTTCTGTTAAATCACTAAGTGTCGAAGGATCTTGACGAGAAAATACTTTAACAATAAATTTCTTTGTATTAACAATACCATCAACAATATGTCGACCAATTCCTCCAGTACCACCAGCAACCACAATTATTCGTTTTCCTTCAACAGCCATTAAATGAGAAATTCACAGGAAAAATCAATTGAATCAATATTTATATACATTGGGATTTTGTGTACTTTATGACGCACTTTATATTCGACATTGTAACAATGATTCATATCGATACGCTTGAAAGAACGATAAACACATCAAGTTTCATAGAAGGAAAAAAGACAAAAATCTTTTTAATACGTTTAATACATACGTATATTAAACAGATGTAGATGTCACTATATTGTTTCTTTCATTTATTTTATTTCAATATTTATCAATCTATGGATGATTTGGAAATAAAATTCATTGAACACATAAATCAAATGTTAATCTTTGTTTTACATTCATAAGATCAAGAAAAAAAAATGAAAACAATTGAAAATCCTTGAAATAAACTCAATTCCATTCACAAAGCAAAATAAACAATCAATTCTTAACAGAGACATTTGTTAATCATAATCAAATTTTACAATATCTTTTATAACACACGGAAATTTAATAGAAAATTAACTTTTACATTCAGTTACAAAGAAATTTTTCTCTTCTATAAGAATCTCGAGGATTTCAACGTAAATCGTTCATTGCTATGATAAAACATTGCTTTATTTAAAAACTTCTTCTATAACGAAAAATCAATAATTTTGTTTTCAACGCTGATTTTACAAATTTTCCTTTTTTTTACCGATCATTGCGAAGAATTACTTATATCTATAAATCATTGTTTTATGTAGAAGTTTTTGAATGAAATGTTGTCAATTATTTATCTTCGATCGTGTATTTGCCAATAAGACAAATTAAAACGATTGCGTAATTTATTCGACGTATTTTCGTTCGAGTTTGTCAAATACACAAAATTGACCAGCATTTCAAAGATTTTTTTTCTTTTATTGACCGAAGTGAATCTTTTGATGACTTCGTCTCATGAAATCGCACAAGAACATCATTAATGTGTCTTATTTTGAAGTTGTTATTTCAAAAAAGAAAATTTCATTTGTGATGGGAAATAAAAAAAACAACTGTGTGTACATGGTTAAGATGTTTCTTGTAACAATTGAAGTATCTGAAGGGCGTCTAAGAAGTCTTTTATTCGAATGGCGTGATTATTATTTATTGAACTTTATCATTTCTTTTTTACTTTTATAAATGCCTTGATTTCATTTTAAAATATCCACTTTAATACACCCACTTTTTGTTATTTTATAGTGACAAATCGATTACTTTCGATGTACATTAACTAGAGTACATCACTTAAGAAATTCACAGAAATACAAACAAAAGAAAAAGACAGAAGGAGAAAGAAGAAGAAAACGAAGTGAAATATTCATTCTTTTAATTGCTTGAATAAAAGAAAGACAAACCATTAATCGAAATATTTGACATTCTTTATTATTTAACGAAAAGACCAATAAGATCTTATGCTCGAAACAATCGCTTTTGAAATACCAAATTTAGACCTTCCACCAACCGAAGTTTGTTAAATAATCCAATGTTCAAATTTATTTAAAAAAGTTTTACTTTAGGTTCCACAACGAATTTCCGAAGGAGATAATGTTAGACCAAAACGAATTCCAAAACCTCGCTCCAACAAGCATTCACCTACTCAAACAAATCCTAATTTAAATATTAATCTAGGATCGGTGCCAACAGTAACAAGTTCAACGTAAAATTTTATATTTCTTTTTTATTGAAAACATATTTCGATTTCTTTTCTAATTTTAGAACGAAAGCTACAGCTAGTGCGACAAAATGTTCATTACCTTTGAAGATTTTCATCTCAACACTAATTGCATTAGTTGCAGCAGCTGGAATTGTTGGTCCAGCTGTCTATTTCAGTCAACAAGGTACTAATCATCCATTGATTATTTAAACTTTGTCTATCCTATACTGCATTTAGCAAAAACGACGACTGTAGCTGTTGCACGTCTAGCTGTCACTTCCCAAACAACTAGCACAACAACGACTACGGATACAACGAGTACTACTGAAACGACTACTACCACCACCAGTACCACTACTACTAGTGAAACCACTACTACTAGTACCACTAGCACAACTAGTACATCCACTACCAGTGAAACCACTAGTACCAGTTCAACGAGCTCAACTTCCACCACGGATACCACCAGTACTAGTAGTACAAGTACCACTAGTACTTCGACAACTAGTGAAACAACAAGTACTAGTAGTACCAGCACGACTAGTACTTCTACGACCAGTGAAACAACAAGTACAAGTAGTACCAGTACTACGAGCACTTCTACAACCAGTGAAACCACAAGTACGAGCAGCACAAGTACAACGAGCACTACGAGCACCAGTACTACAAGCACGACTACCACCACTGACACCACAAGCACAAGTAGTACCAGTACCACCAGCACTTCTACAACCAGTGAAACCACAAGTACAAGCAGCACAAGTACAACTAGTACCACGAGCACTACTACGACTACGACGAGCGAAACAACAAGCACTAGTAGCACTAGCACTACCAGTACCACCAGCACTAGTACTACTACTACAAGCACTACTAGTGAAACGACAAGTACAAGCAGCACGAGTACAACCAGTACGACTAGCACCAGCACCACTACCACTAGCGAAACGACGAGCACTAGTAGTACCAGCACGACTAGTACTTCTACAACCAGTGATACCACGAGCACAAGTAGTACCAGTACAACAAGTACTTCTACAACTAGTGAAACTACAAGTACGAGCAGTACGAGTACTACCAGCACTACTACAACTACTACGACCGATACAACAAGTACCAGTAGCACTAGCACTACTAGCACAACCACTACTAGTGCAACAACAAGCACCACTAGTACCAGCACGACAAGTACTACCAGTACTACCACAACCACCACAAGCCAAACAACAAGTACAAGTAGTACTAGTACTAGTACTACTAGCACATCTACTACTAGTGCAACAACAAGCACCAGTAGTACCAGTACAAGTAGCACGTCAACCACCAGCGCGACAACAAGTACGAGCAGTACTAGCACAACGAGCAGCACTAGTGCGACGACGAGCACGAGCAGTACGAGTACAACAAGTACCAGTAGTACCAGCGCGACTACAAGTACCACGAGTACAAGCACGACTACCACTAGGACGACCACCACTAGCGCGACCACAAGTACCAGCAGCACGAGTACCACTAGTACCAGCACTTCGACTACCAGCGCAACCACAAGTACTACTAGTACGAGCACGACAAGTACGACTACGACTAGGACGACCACTACTAGCGCGACAACAAGTACTAGTACAAGTTCAACGACTTCGACTAGCGCCACAACAAGCACGACTACTACAACTCGAACAACAACGACCAGTACGAGTACAAGCACCACATCCAGTGAGTAATTTAAATTTATTTTAACTATATAGTTAGTATTGATAATGTAAGAAAGACTCTTCATGAGACTGTGTTTGAGTTGATTGATACATTGTGTTCTGATCGATTTCAAAATAGAAGAGAAGGAATAAAATATGTTTTTATTTCTAGCTGCTTGTTTGCCCGTGTGTCAGAACGGTGGTACGTGCAATTCTCCTGGAAGTTGTACTTGTACATCGAGTTGGACTGGTGCAACATGTACAACGCGTATGTAGAATGTTTGAAAAGAAAATTCGAATTAAAATCTCTCTTTTAGCCGTGTGTTCTCCAACATGTTCAAATGGTGGTACATGTACTTCACCGAATACTTGTTCATGTACATCAAGTTGGACTGGGTCAAGATGTACAACACGTATGAATAAAATTGAGTTTCTAAATTTGAAAAAATTCTAGACAAATCTCACTTTTAGCCGTGTGTTCTCCAACATGTTCAAACGGTGGTACATGTACTGCACCAAATACTTGTGCTTGTACATCAAGTTGGCAAGGCGCTTCTTGTCAATCAGGTACGAATTTGAAATAAAAAGATTCTTTCTTTGGAAGGAAAGTCTTTCTGTTTGTTTGTTTGTTTTTTTAGCAAAGTCGTGTTATTATGGTAAAGATAAAGTTCGTTTAATCAATGGAAATGAACGTTCAATAGAATCATTACAAATTGGTGATCGTGTTTGGACAATAAGTTCTGATGGAAAATCTTTAATTGAAGATGAAATTATTTTAATGATGCATAATGGACGAAATGTTTCGACATTATTTTATACATTTAAAACAATTGATGGAAATGAACTAAGTTTAACAGATCGACATAATCTTCCAATTTATGATAAAAAAGAAAATCAAATCAAAATTGTTCGTTCATCATTAGTTAAACGTGAACATTATTTATTAATGAATAATTATAAAATTCCAATTGAAAATATTTCATTAAATACAAAAATTGGTTTTTATTCTCCATTAACATTAACTGGTTATTTAACTGTGAATAATATTTCCACATCTGTTTTCTCTGATAGGTAAAACAAATCGATTTCTTTTTCTTTGAAATTTCTCTCTTTTTTTTCAGTTATAAAGTTTCATCCGACACAGTTCAATTTGTATTTTTTCCAGTTCGTATTTATTATCGTTTAACTCGATGGATTTATGGAGAAAAGTATATTCCATTTACTGAAATCATCGATGGACTTCATCCAATCGCACAAATGTATAAAGAATATCAAAGTTTTCTGCGATTTCTCGTTCGACTTCCAGAATATTTCTTTTCAACATTAATTTTAGCTTTAATTCTTCATTTTTTACAAAAATTCATTAAACAATGAGAAGATTTTCTTTTATTTTGTCAATTAATTTAAACAAATATTTATTCTAATTTATCAGTTTGACGTTCTTTTTTTAAAATTTGTCTCGTCGTGTTTTTTTTTCATTTATTCCCGATGATGATGTGAACGGTTCTTTTTTTAATTCGATTTCGTGTTTTGTTCAATAAAATCAATCAAAGAAATCATTTCTTTTTCTATGAGTTTTTTTCTTTTTCTCTCGATGATGATGATGATGATGACGAGAAGGTTTTTTCAAACGAATATTTGTTTGTTTAATTGGAATAACTCGTGTTTTTCTTTGTTTAATCCATTGAATAAGATAAATAATCGAAAGAACGATTCCAATTGTTGCTGGAATTCCCAATCCAATTGATAAACCAAGAATTGTTTTTAAACTATCTACATTTTATCCAAATACAAAGAAGATTTCTTAATCAAATGAAAGACTTACATTCATATGGGGATTTGTCTGTTGTTGTTGTTTGATCTAAAAAGAGAAGATTTTCTTTTTGTGAAATTTCAATGTAAAGATCAACTTGAAGACGAAGGTAATTTTGATGTTAATGTTGGATTTGGATCGATCGTTATTTCGAATGAAGATGTTGATGAATAAGATTCATCTGGAGAAGAAGAAGAAGATGTTGGAAAATGTTCCGTAGAAGTGTCAAATGTTGATTGATCATTGGAAAACTTCAAGAGATAAATGAAATGAAAAGAATTGAAATTTGGAATTTTCTTACAAATAATGGAATTCGAAATTGTTGATTTTCTTGACAAATAAACAAAAGAAATGAAGAAAAGGAAATGTTGAATTTTTACCACAAATTCCTTGTTTTATTGTAATTTGATCAAATGCAACATAAAATTCTTGTTGAAGATTTGTCATATTCACACGATAAATTCGAAAAATAATCTAAATGATCAATAAAATAAGATGAAATGAAATTGAAATGAGAAATTCACTTGAAATGATGATGAATCTGTTTGAAATTGTTCTTTTGCCAAAATCCATCCATTAAAATGAATTTCATCAAATACACGAAGAAATCTTCGTTGATTTTTTTCATTTAAATAATCAATAAAGAGAAGAATAGTTTGAGGTTTAGTTGAATAATAATAAAATGGAAGACAATGTTCAATTCGCTGAGTATTTCTTATTATTGGTGTTATAAATTGTCGATTTTGATCATTTCCAAGTAATAATAATTGATATTTACCTTCTTCACAGAAACTTTCAAACGAATTTTCTGTTAAACATTTCATTTCATTTGATGAATTATAACAAAAGTATAAATCATTCGGATTTGAATCGATTCGATATGGAATTGAACATCGATTTCCATTCTTTGTTGATTTTACTTAAAAAATCCAATCAATAAGAAAAGAAATTTTTCTCTTACAAATCGATGAAACATCAGACCATGGCGAAATTGGTCGTTGAAATGAAAGATTTGAATATGCAAATTATGAAGAAGTGATGAGCATTTCATGTTGATTATCATAAGAACGTAAATAACATGGATCATTTTCATCAAATGTACATTGATAAACAATTTTTTGTAAAATTATTCCATTTATATGAAAAATCAATAAACAAACAAAATCTTTTCAAAGAATTTCTTTTCAGTTAAATTTTCAAGAAAATCAAATTCACTTACATTTCAACATTTCAAAGTAACAACAAAGAAACTCGTTTTCTTTCTTAACTGATAAGAAATTATTTTATCATTAAAATAACAAAAGAAAACAAAGGAGATTTTTATCTTTTCAAATTCAAATTTTTCTTCTCAACTTCTTATTTGATCTTTTCTAATTTTATATCAAAATCAATTTCAATCGTTTTTCTCTTTCTTTTGTTTCTGATATCACAAAAGAAGAAATATTAATCGTTTAAATCATTTCTTATTCGTTTGAACATCAAGGATATCTTATTGTAATTTTAATTATTCTTTTTCTCTGTTGTTATTTCATTTATTAAAGTCATTTTATTATTATCAATTAAAAGAAACATGATGAGAAAAGTGATTTCTTTGGAATTATGACAATTTTGTAATTCGATTTGAAAAAATTCTTCGATATTTCGTGAGATATTCATAAGTTCTCAAAGATTCTACTTATCACAGAATTTATAAAGAATGAAATATTCTTCTCATATCTACACTCTCAAGACTTTCATTATCAATCGATTTGAATCGAATGTATAAGTCGAATGTAGAAACGAAGGTTATTCTAAAATAGAAAAGATGTCACTAATGAAAAATATCCAATCTTCATTGGATATATCTCGTGAGAAATAAAAATCATTTCTCTATTTGTACTTTTTACACTCATTATGTCCTCATTGACTTTTCAATGAAATATAAATTGATCGTTTTTTTTAGAATAATTACTATTCAAATGAAAAACATTCGATTTCAGATAAGAAAAATGTCATTGAAACAATTAATTGAGAATTCTCGAAAATCTCCTGATGAAATATATGGTGAATTATTTCGTGAAGTTCAATTAAAACGAATCTTTTCCGATACAAAAACATTTGTTGATTGTGTTCCAAAAATTTCCTCGGAAGAAATTCTCCGAATTTATAATGAAAAGAAATCTTTATCTAATTTTAATTTATCGAAATTTATTGAAGAAAATTTTAATTTTCCTCATTCTCCAGCGAAAAATTTCTCAAGTGAAAGAAATCTTTCAACAGTTGATCATATCAATCGTTTATGGGAAATTTTATCTCGTCCAGCTGATGAAATAGTTGAAGGAAGTTCTCGAATCGCTCTTCCATATTCATATGTTGTACCTGGTGGAAGATTTCGTGAAATCTTTTATTGGGATTCATATTTTACAATGTTAGGTTTATCTGTTTCATCGAAATATTCATTTTTAATTGAAAATATCATAAATAATTTTGTTTATTTAATTGATCAATATGATTTTATTCCAAATGGAAATCGAACATATTTTTTAACTCGTTCTCAACCTCCATTTTTCGCATGTATGATTCAATTATTATCTCAAATTCATTCAAATCCATCAGAAATTCGAAAGAAATATTTACCTTATTTACATAAAGAATATCTTTTTTGGATGAATGGAAAAGATCAAGTTAATGAAAATGAAATTTTCAATCAAGTATTTTCTTTTTTCTTTTACAAATTCTTTAATGAAAATTTCGATTTCAGCATGTCGTTTGGATTTGTGAAGATGTGATATTGAATCGTTATTTTGATCCATTAACAAATCCACGACCCGAATCTTATCCAAAAGAAGAAGAAGAACGTAAAAAAGCTGAAGAATTATTTGGAATAAGTTCTGAAGAATTTTATTTACATAATCGTGCTGCTTGTGAATCTGGTTGGGATTTTAGTTCACGTTGGTTTGATGATAAAAAAACGAAAGAATTAAATAAATGTGCTTTTATTCTTCCAATTGATTTAAATTGTTTAATTTATTCTTTAGAAAATTATCTTTCTTTTATTTATAATGAACAAAATAATGACGAATTAAGTCAACAATTTCAACAATTAGCAAAGAAAAGAAAAGAAATTATTCAAACTTTATTTTGGTCCAATGAAAAAAAGTTTTTTTTTTTCGATTATGATCCAATTCGAAAATGTTTAAAAGAAGTTTTTTCTTTAGCTGCAGTTTATCCATTATTTTTTCAAATAGCAACAAAAGAACAAGCAGATTATGTTCGACAACATTTAGAAAAAGATTTTTTAAAATCCGGTGGTCTTTTAACAACTCTTGAATGTACAGGACAACAATGGGATTCACCAATTGGATGGGCGCCTCTTCAATGGATTTCATATCAAGCGATGAAAAATTATCAATTTCAACATTTAGCCAATGAAATTCGTTCCAGATGGTTAAAACTTAATGATGAAGTTTTTAAACAAACAGGCAAAATGACGGAAAAATATAATGTTCTTGAACAAAAAGAAGGTGGAGGAGGAAATTATCCTCTTCAAGATGGTTTTGGATGGACAAATGGAGTTTATCTTCGATTATTTTTTGATTAAATTATCAAAAATTTTTCTTTTTTAATAAATTTCGACCTTCTAACGTATTTTATTTAAAGATCAATAAGTTAATTCGTTCATCACGATTGATTTTCTTGTGTTTTTATAAATCAGAGTGAATGTAACACATCGTTTGTTTGTGATAATTTCACTTCACACTGATGAAATTCGATTTCTATTTTGAAAGAGAATAAAAATCGAAATATTCATCTAGTAAGTTGTCGCCATCCATCAATCATGAAATTAAAGAAGAGATGTTTATTTCATTTAAGTCAAAGAAGTTAATCATTATCTTGAGATTGGTTTTTCTTTTTCATTATTTAATCAAAACAAACAAATGTAGATTTCATCATTAAAGTAATCTGATAATCAAATTACAATGTACTTCAGATAAAAACAAAAGAGTTCGGTAAAATTATTAAAATAATAGTTTTGAGTGGTGCACCGATCCGCAGTCGATTGTTAAACAGCAAGAAAATTGTTTCAATGAAGATATAAAATTGATTTTTTTGTCATAATTAAAAATTTCTTTTCGAAGACATTTCTCACTCTTTTGATCGATAAAGAATTCATTTCTAAAATGTGATAAGATGAGTTTTGTCACACGACTTCACTCTAATAGAAAATGAAATGAAATGAAATGAAGAAATGATTTTTTGAGATTAATTTTCATAGAATTTAGAAGAGCATTTCTCATCAATGAAATTCTTAGAAGATTCATTGAAACAAACTTCCAATGAAATATTTCATTAAGAATTTTGTCATATTTTGATCAAGTCCAATTAATATTAATGAATCATTCTCATTTGATAAATTCAATTAGTCATAGAACAGGATGAGATATTTGCTCAATTACAAAATCGAATTCTTCATTAGAGATTTGTGAACATATTCGAACAAAAATATTCTTTACAATAAAATCGAATTAGACAAATCGATATTGTTTCATTTCATTTAATATTTCATCTTTCATTCATCGATGAAATTCAACACATTCTTTGTTTTCAAATCGTTTCCATTTACCTTTTATGTAGAAAACATCAATTAACCTACACAAAGTCTTCTTTCATATGATCAATCAATCTATTTCATCATTTTCTTGAATATTCTATTTTCGAATTACATTTGTGAAGTATCCAAAAGAGAAACAGATGATTAAATTGACAATTCGTTTTGTCATTTCAAATCAATAAACTTTTGTTTTTTCCTTTTGTTAAAAGAGCGTCATTCGACTGAGGATTTGTGTATGAAGAGAAAAGCAATTACATATTTCAATATATGACTTAGGTGAGATTAGATTCGTTTCAAGTTTCAGTATGAAAAAAATACGCGAATCGGTTGGTTTTATGACCTTTTTTGTTCTTGTCTAGATGAATAAAATATCTCAAACAGATTTAGTTTGATATTCATTGTAGAAAAAGAAACGAAAATGCCGAATGGAACATTAGAAGTGATCGTTGTTGAAGGACGAGATCTGAAAGATAAAGATTTAATGGGTCAAAATGATGCTTTTGTTGAAATTTATATTGATAAAAAATATAAACAACGAACAACAACAATATCAAATACAAATAATCCAATTTGGAATGAACGTTTTTCTTTTAATTTACAAAAAAATGATGAAACAATTCATTTTGATGTTTATGATGCTGATCTCATTGGAAGAGATTCAATTGGAAATTGTAAAATCAAACTTAAACATGTTTTTGATGATGGAAAATATGATGAATGGATCAAATTACCTTCGATGTTTGGTCTTTCATCAAAAGGACAAATTCATATTATTATGAATTTTATTGTGAGAATATTTCAAAATAATTTTTCTTAATTGAATTTCTTTTTTAGCCATCGTAATCACAACTCTCAGAATTATTATTTCAACTTATCAAAATCAAAAACTTAAATTTCTTTCTTTCAATTTTCTTTCATTTTCATTAAAATTTAACCAATAGGCCAAAAACTTGGTGATAAAACTTTATTAATTGTATTATTTTGTTCAGTTAATGTCCAAAAACGAGGTATTTGATCAACACTATTCCATGTCCAAATCCCCCATCCATTAAATCGATAATTAAAACTGTCGATAATGACTTTTTTGATTGCTAAAGCAGCAATTGATGCATTTGGGAAATCACCTGTATAAGCACCTGTTTCTCCCATTAGAATTGGTTTTTCACGACTAAGAGCGGCTCCTTCGAGTTCTTTCTGAACATTATTACTCGCATAAACATGTAAATCAGTATAATCAGCAAGACCTTTAATAAGACTTGCTGATCTTAATGGATATCGATCATCAGCACCTACTGGTCGAATTTCAACACCATCAAATCCATCGTGACCAACTGCATTTGGAGAAAAAAGACTTGCAGTAACAGAAATATTTGATGAAATGAATTTTATTGCTTTAACTATTGAATCCATCCAAATATTCCCAGCTATATCGAGTAATTGTTGACGATCAATACCTTTTGACATATCATAGAGAATATCTTCAAATGAAACAAATCCATTTGTTAAAGAAAATGGTTGACAATGAACAGATATCGATATTTCATTGAAAATATCAATTGCAAAAATATTTTCAAAAGCAATTTGACTTAACAATCGAATTTGAGATAAAAGATCTTGAAAAAATTGTGCTTTTGCTGCTATTTGACCACGATGAAAAACAATTAAATTGATTCCTGTGACATTTGCTGGGAGTGGATATGAATTTATAATCGATTGATAATTCAATGGATTAAAATCACCTGTTAACATCACTGATATTTGATGATTCGATGCACGAAGAAGAAAATCAACAAGATTTTTTGTATAATTTATCGAAATACCAGGTGATGAAAGTCCAAATCCCGAATATAAATAAGGACAAGAAAGAAATACTCGAACATAATTATATCCATAGATTTTCATCTGTGTTAATTCATCTTCGATTTTCCATGTTGAATATAAACTTGGTTCAAATAGGGCATGTCGTGTTCCATTTAATAAAGGAATATAATTTGTTCCACGCAAATATGTCTGATTACTTCGAAAGGAGACAAATTTGTTTGGGGAAGTAATACCAAACAAAGAAACTAAAAGTAAAACAATGCGCATATTTTCTAAATAAGAATAGAGTGAGTGAATGAGATATCTTCACAGATATTCTTATCTTCATTTTCATATTATCAACATTTAGACAGAAATGAATCAATGATTACAAAAGAATTATTATTCAAATTAAAATAATTGAAAATATTGAATATGAAAACAAAAAATTTGTGATTAATCATCAATTTTCTTAACATAGTTTGATTATCTCATTATGGTGATGTAGAGGTATCCGATATTATCGAAATTGTTATCACATCTGCTGAAGTTTCTGATTTCATTGTAGCACTTATACCTTCTAATACTATTGCTGTTGATACTGATGCTATTGGAGTTGTCGTTGTAGTCATTGTTGTTGATGTCGTCGTCGTCGTTGTTGTTGTTGTTGTTGTTGTCGGACTTGTTATAATTGTGTTTGTTACCGATGGTGTTGAAATTGCCGTTGTTATCATTATTATTGGTGTAGATGATGATATTGTTTGTGTTTGGGATGTATCTGTTGTATTTGATGTTGTCATTGTGAATGATGTTGAAGATTGAGTTGTGATATTTGTTGAAAAGAACACATCAGTTGAAGTTCCTCGAGTGAATAAAACAATGGACATAATGAAAGCAACGAGTGCAATAATAGTTGTGATGAGAATAATCACAAAAAGAAAAGGATATTTTTTAATCATTTTCACATATTTTGAAGAATGACCAGAATTAACAATTACTGTGGAATTCTTTGGAATATTTGATGAAGGATAAGAATTATTTTTATGTACATTCGTTGATCTTTTATTATGACGTGGAACTTGTCGATGTTCACCCGGCATTTTTCACTTAAAAGTATCGATAGAGAAATAAATGTTGTGAAACTTTTTTCAAAATGTATTTATATCGAATTGAGACTCTATTTTTACAACTTGGATTGTAAATTGTGTTTCATCCGAGTGGGTTAACAATCATGAATGGATTGAGTAAAGCAAATACAAGTCTCACATTCGTTTTATCAATTATCAATAGACGTGTTTTTTATAACTTCATTGAAATTCATCTGTCGATCGTAAGTCATGAAAAACTTCGATTATTCGAAAAGAAAACTTTTTCTCGATTTAAATAAAAGTGAAAAAAAGAATTGAGAGCAAAGAGGAAAATGTATTGATTTAATTTGGTATTAAGTCTTGTAAACGTATTTTTGTCTAAAAATAAAAGAAATATGAAAAGATAAGAAAATTAGACGAAATATGTGTCATACAGATCATCTTGTGATCGTTCAATATAATCTGTTTCGATTAATCGTTCGATTTCTCGTTTTATGATAATTAAAGATGGAATAAAACGAGATTTGAATTCTTCAGTTATCTACAAGAAAAAACGATGAAATTGTTGTTTTTGATCATTAGGAACAGATTTACTCGAGTAATAAGTTGTTGATGTGTTATTATTTGAAAAGATTTCATAATTCTCACAATTGCAGCTCGAATTTGCCATTCATGAGGATCATTGATTTTCTTCTGAATGTCTTCACATTGGATTTTATTTGCAAATTTGACTTTCGACGAATGAATTTTCACAAAACGATGATTCGATGCAAAAGATTCATTAACAGAAAATCGATCGGTCAATTCCATGTTTTTCTTATTGGAATCTTTGAGAAGAAGATTTTCCTGATGACATAATGGAAACAACGCTTTTTTCATATCATCTTCATCGATATCAGTTTCATGATGAATTTCCTGAAATAAATCAAAGAATGAAAAGAATTTCCTAAGAGAATAAATGAACTTCAAATGTCCATGATTGTTTTTTATTGAATAACATTAAAATCATCATTTGATATGTTGAAACTTGAAGAAGAATTTTTCCTCCATTGATTTCTAATCTTAAATGTGCTGAACCAAATTGTGGGAAGAAAATTAATTGACGACCATTAAATCTTTTCAAATAAAATTCCTGAAAATATTGATAAACGTGATAAATGTTGAATGGAAGATTTCCTTTGTTATTTAAATGAGAAATTGGCCAAGAATTTCTTTTTAATATTTCAATATGAAAATCAATTCCATGGAAATTCAAATGATGTTCATTAACATGTTCCTGAAACTCTTTTCTTATTAATTTTGAAGATAAGAAAATATCTTTGAACATCATTTGAAAATCATGTGTAAATTCGTTTCCAAAAGTGTTTGTTAATAAAGATAAAAGATCATTTTCTAAATCTTCACAAGATATTTCATTGGAAAGAAGACGTTCACCGAAATGTTTTTGATAAAATTCTCGAAAAATCTCTCGATCTTCGAGATATCCAATAAGTTCGATGGTTTTCTTGAGAATATCTCGAATTTCTTCATTATCATCTGAATAATTTCTCATTTGATTGTTAAGAAATAATGAAAAATATTCAGGAAGCATTTTATATGAATTAAGACAATTTTTCCAATGAGAATTGATTTCTTTGATGAATTGTTCATTGGAACGAAAAGATTTTCTCAGAAATCGATCGAATTTGTCTTTTAAATTGATTAAACTTCTTAGGTCTTCACTAATTATTGATTGACTTTGTTTTTCTAAATTATTTTTCATTGCATTGATCAATTTCGTTAAACCATTTGGTATTTGTCGATAATCGATGAAAATCTTTTCGAGAATTTCAAATTGATCAAATTGAAAAAATTCATTGAGAAGAAAATTTTCTTTGAAAAGATCTTCGATTTTGAGATAAAATAATAAAAGAATTGCTTTGATTAATTTGATCATTTGTTCTTGAGAAAGATTTGATTTATTTTGAAAAGATTTGTTAATAAATGAGAGAAGATTTTCTTGGAAATTCTCATTGAAATTTAGTAAATTTTCCAAATCAGAATTGATTTGTTCACAAATAATTTGATCATAATGAAAAGATTTTTCCCAAAAAAGACCAAGTTGATCTTTTAAATCAAGAAATTTGTCCAGAGATGCATTTTGTCCTTCTTCTCTTAAATATTCATCAATGCGACGAGTAACGATAGACAATCCATCAGGTATTTTCTTATAAATTTTATAAATTGTTTCCAATTCTTCATATTGATTCGATTGAAACATTTTATAGACACACATTTTCCCCATTGCTATTGGATGTTCTTTATATTTATTCACGAATTCTTCGATAAGTAGTGAAACCAGAGGTTTTCTAAGCGATTGATTTAATTGAGGATAAACTTGTTCGAATTGTTCTTCAAAAAATAAGTCAACATTTCGAAGATATGTCAATGTGTCATTTTCTTTTAATAATCTTTCATTTTCCAGTTGATAAAATTCTGTAAAACGTTGTAAACACATTGAATGAAATTCATCATTGTAAAAAAGATCTTTGTTAATTTGAAACGTTTTTAATAAATCATCAATATCATCGACAATGGTTTTCTTCTCATATTTAGCGGTGATCATCTCCAAAAAGGCTTTTTCAAAAGATTTCTCTACAATTGGATTCAAAAGAATATTTTCTCGAAATAACTTTACACCTAAATCATCAACAGATTCAAGACGTTTTGAAGAAACATAAACTCGATCCATATACGTAAGAACATCGCGAATCATGATTATACTTGTACGATAATTCTTCCACAATGATTTAAGTGTATCAACAAATTCCAAAGGAGACAATTGAAGAAGTTTTGGTTGAATCTATTCAAAACAAATCAATATCATTCATGAACAAATCAAGATGACATACGTATACAACAATATGTTCATTAATTAAGTTTTTCGTATTTTCATAGAGTTTTTCACCGTGTCCATGAAGTACCAATTTATAAGCATTTAGATACAAAGCTTCAAAACTGTCATCGCTATTTAATTCCATTAATATCTTTTCTAAATTTGGTTTCAGTGAAGTTAACCAAATCTCGTCTCGACAAGACGTGTCTACTCGTGCCTATAAAATTAGAAAATTAATTTGAAATTTTCTATTAATTGTCTAAATTAAATTGATCAATGATTCACTTACGAAAAATTGACGAATTTTCATTTTCCTTTTTTGTTCGTCCGACTGAGAACTCATTGTGTACAGCAACAAGAAAATGCTTTACAAGAAATGAACACACACACACACTGACTTGAGTTGTAACTGAAAGAAAAGAAACGTATTGTAGTTCGAAAAAAAACTTCAAATAGGCGATGTTTGGGGAAAATATCCCGAAAAATATTATTGTGGAAAAATCCTGATGAGATATGTTGGAAATTTCCACTCAAGAAAAAGAATGTCGCATTTATGGTCGTTTTCGTGTGAAAGAAAAGGAAAGGAACGAACCTATGAATCATAACACCACTATGAATCATTAGATGAGATTTCATTATTACAGATTTCGATTCAATTTAATCGAATTCATATGAAACTATTGCGTTGGCAGATGAATTCGGAGTGTTTCTTCTCTTATCCAATAAGAACTTCTGTTCACAATAAAAATATGTAGCACCGGTCAACAACATATCTTTACTAACGAATAATCGTGGAAATTGTACGACGGTTTTGTTCAGAAATTTTTATAGTTTCTTTCTAATCGTAGTTCAATGCATACAGTTGAGATTTCGTTGTGTGAAAGGATATTGATTTGACAGTTTTACTCATTGATAATTTATATCACTTGTACAATTATCGAACTACACTCAAAGTGACAAATTCTCAGATAATTCTTTTATAGTATTTTATTATGATATTCTATCTTTTCCAAAAGACTAATAACTTTAATGCGCAATACTATACGACAGAAAGGAGGAACTTTGTAATTCTTGTGATTGAAACTTTTGAAATAGCTTCGTTTTACTTTCAAAATAGTGCAGATTTGTTTCTTTTCTTTTTATCATACTTCAATGAAGAATAGATGCATTTTCGATCTTTTCGTAGTATCTTGAAAGTTCCAGTATGTGTAATCAGTGGTTGTCTTTATCCTTTTGATTGACACAAATGGATATATATTACCCAATCTATATAAATGACTGAGAAAGGAAGCTTCTGAATGTTCTGCAAGTTTGGGAAAGGGAAATTCGTTCTCGAAATAGTATTCGATATTCTTTCTGAGGACTATCTAGAACATTCTAGACGACATAAATCGAGATTTTAATTCTCTCTGGAAAGATCTCGTGNCAAACAGGTAAAATGACGGAAAAATATAATGTACTTGAACAAAAAGAAGGTGGAGGAGGAAATTATCCTCTTCAAGATGGTTTTGGATGGACAAATGGAGTTTATCTTCGATTATTTTTTGATTAATTTCTCAAAAATTTTTATTTTTCTAATAAATTCTGCCTTTCAACGTATGTCACATGAAAATCAAAGAATTATTTCATAGGATCATTTTAAACATCATCTCAGTGAAAGTTTAAGAACGAAGGCGTCGAAGATTTCTCTGAATAATACTTGTAAATTCATCCTTATAAGTTCTTGATGGTAAAACATAAACAATAAATGTGATCATCGATGGAAAAAATGAAAGTAAATATCCGAATAAAAATAACCAAGAATTATTTGGTGATTTCATACATCCACTGACAAATGAAATGATAAGACGAGGTAATCCCAATAATACCAATGCAAATGACGCAATCAAATGATGCTTATGTTCTTTCAATTGTAATTTTAAATGTTCAACGTATGTTAATCGGGATTGAATAGTTGAACGATTTCGAGCGACTGTAATGATAATTATTATTGTTGAGATGAAATTGATTGAAAATGGAGGAAGAAAATGAAATAAAGTTACAAATGAATTATAAGTATTGATTGAAGATGAATAACGAGATATACACCAAAAACGTTCTTCATCAATATCAATATCTTTTATTAATTGTCGATGAAAAGGATCATGAAGATGAGTTGAAATTGAAAAGAGAATAACGAAACTTGTTACCCATTTTGCCATTTGTTTACTTTTACTTTTATTAAATGTTAAACCTTGTTTAACAGTAACAACACGTTCAATTGAAATACATCCATCAAGCCAATCATTAATCGCTAAAAAAACTTTAATTAACACATCTAATAGAATACAATTGAAACGAAGAAATGAAAAATTGGTGAAAATTTTCATTTGTAATAAAATTAATTGAACAAATTTGTTCACCAATACAGATGAGATCAAGATCGAAATCCATCCGGATACGAATAAATAGAATCCACAACCATTTGTACGAATTTTCTCTACACGAAATGTGACAACAGTTAAGAATCCACCAAGAAATCCCATGAGAAACATCATGGTAACGATCGCGACACTCATTTTCACAATAAATGGTTGTTGAGAAAACGAAAGATTCGGTTTAATATGATAACTGAGAATATAATCCAAAGATAAAACAAAACCTTCAGTTGTAAATTGACATTTTGTTCCATAAAAACAACCTGAACATAAACATTTCATTGAACTTGAACAAGTTTGATTTGCTAAAAAACATTTTCCTTTATTTTCACAAGGATTTTCTCTTTGACCACAATTATAAGTTGTGTTACGATTGAATACAAAACAATTCGAGAAACGATCTTCATCACAAATGCACATGTAAAGTTCATCATAAAAACACATCACGTGTTTATTTTGTCGACAAAGTAATGGATACGATTTAACACGACGAAGATAATGAACAGATTTCAATGTTTTATCTAACAATTCATTGATAAAGATACAACGATATTTGGGAAATAATTTTGTTTGAATATGTTCAGATTTGATAAAGTTTTCACGTTTAATGACCAAATAGAAATCTTCTTGAAGAGATTCGACAAAAACAAGATGAAATGGAATAGTCGTGAAAATTGTCACTTGATTTTGTCCATATTTGATTTGTTTTAACATTGTACTTTGAACATGATCTGATCCTTGGTGAATTGTGATGAGATGAACTAAAAAAGATAAATCTGTTGATGTTGTTTCATCATTAAATTGAATATCAATCCGATTTTGAATATTTTCACATCGTTCTCCAACAAATCCTTCTTTACAAATACAAATAAAGTTATTCAAAGCAACACGATCATCGATCGGTATACATTGTCCATCGTTTTCACAAGGATTTCTTAATGATTGACATATTTCATGTTTTAGATAACATTTTGGACCGAATTTATATAATGGACAAATACAAATCGATGAATGAAGACAAAAAGAATCAGATGAACAAGAACAATTGGATTTCAATTGACAATTCAATCCTGAATAACCTGATTTACATTGACAAAAGTATGAAGAATTTGTGTTGACGTATCGAAGACATTTTCCACGATTTTCACATGATAATGAACATGAAAATTCGGTTTGTTGAGGATTCAAAGGGATAAGTAAACGTTTAGAAATACGATTGACGGGAAGGAATGGAAATGGAATTGGTAAAAGCCAACTTGCCCAATATGTTAAAGTTATTCGATTGAAAATATCAATTCGAACTGAAGAATTCGCTGAAGAATTCTTTGGTCTCGATGGATAAAGTAAATTCAAATGATATTTTGTTCCACAATCACGTTTTGGTAAATGAATTATTTGTTCATGATAGGGGGAAATTTGTCCTTCATCATCAATAAGCATCAGAATTAGTTGGAAAATTGGCATTTCATATGTAAAAGTGAAATATTTCAATTGAATTGTTAAACTAACACGTTGATTTTGCCATTGACATTGTAAACCAAAATAAGATGGAGGACAAAGACATTTCATCGTTGGATTATTTTCATAAAAAATGGCGAATCCTCGATTACAAAACCAACTAACTGAACCTTCAATATCAACATTGTTCAAAATTTGTTGTTGTTTTATTTGAATTTCTGTTGATTGAGGAGAAATCTGGGGAATAACAGATGGAAAATCACCTAAATGTGATGATCGAAGATATGGTTGTTGATTACGAATATTTTGTGCGATAGTTACACCAGATATACACAATGTTTTTGTGTTTCTCATAATTATAAAAGAGTTCGGAACATAATACATCGGAAGTTTAGGGATTAAACAAACATCATCATTATTTCCTTTTAATAAAGGTAAATTACTTTGATTCGAATATTCAACAGTGAGGCATTTGCTTTGATTCCAAAATAAATAATTCTTCGCATCACCGATTGTTTCGTTAATTAAATGAATAACACGAAAATGTTTTTTTGAACTGAATTGTGTATAATCATCTGCTAAATATGATATTGGTAAACAATAAGATATAGAAGGACGAACTTTTTCACAAAAAAGTTCATTAAAAGAACATAAATTATATGAACAATTGACTTCATCAATACCATTGAAACAATGGATAAATCGATCACAACGAGTATTTGGATTATCACATGGCCACAAATGACAATCAGTTTCATCGGAATCTTTCGTTTCATTATCATCCGGAATATATCGAAAACCATTACAAAAATGTGCAAACGGAAATGTTTTATGTGAATTGATCCATTTCAGAGAAGAATTGTTCGTTTCATTGGTCAATAGAAATTTTTCATTCCGATTCGTTTGAAAACAATTACGAAAAATATTTAGAAAAATAATTTGAAATGAAAACCATTGCTCGATTTTGTAACGAGTTATATTCAAAGCGTGACAACAATGAAGACTATTGTTTATTCCAATATCCACGGAACAGAAAAGATATGTGGGACATCGACTTGCATTGAAACAAATGTAATCTGGTGTCAAATCAGTTTTTGATAAAGACAACGATCGATTTGTTAAGTAAATAAATTGAAAATATGAATAAAGCATTGGATATTGAGGGAAAACGAGCCATTCCAGTGGACAATGATCAACAGGTAAATCACAATGAATTTCATTATGAAGATCAGAGAGAAAATCAATTCGATCTGGACGAATAAAACATAGAAGACGTTGTCGACATGCAACAGTTGAAATATAATCAAATGAAGTGAAGAGAATTATTGTCATATATTGATCTCTTCGATTCTCACAAAAAGAATCGAAAGTAGGTACATTAAATTGTAAAATTTGACCATCACCACATACAAAGTAATTAGGATATCCGTATGTTACTTCTTCACATTCAAATGTCGGAAATGTCATACATAATTCTCCAGTTTCTATTCTCCATTGTTCTGTTTCATCAGTTGTATCGAGACAATCGAAACTTTCTTCATAATCATTAGCAAATGTCTGCGAAATACATTCTTTACTTCTCAGACATTGAAATTCATCTTCTGAACAATGATTTTCTTCTAATAAATGACAGAATTGTTCATCTTCACCATGAACACAATCATAAACACCATTGCAGATTTCACGCCAATCGAGACACATTGGTGATGGACCACGAATGCAACTTTTTAAGAACGGATAACATGTACCAACAGGAAAATCGAGATCTAATGATGGTGATTCATAGTGAAGAAATGTGAGACGAACAAGTTTACCAAATGAAACTTGTTGATCATGAATTAATTGATATTGACATGTTGAACCAAACCAAAAAGATGAACAATTGTAAATGAATTTCTCTGAATGTTCACCATTGATTTCATAATCTTCTACAATATCAATTGGAATGAACCAATTCAATAATTGTGAACTCGTGATTCCATTTGTTGATAATTTTTGAAAACTTATTTTGTTTTGGACATTTTCATCAGATATGAAAATCAACTTCTCTTTTTCATCTAATCGTTGACAAAAAGGAATCAGATGATAAAGTGTCAGATAAGCTCCATTCTCAATTAGATATGAATATTGTAAATGAGCATATAAACAATCAAATGTTTCTTCATCATTGATCGTTTCATAAAACCAATAACGAGAATTACATTTGAAATAAATGAAAAAAACTATGAACAATTGAATGAATTTCATCTCTTCTTGAATGAGTTCAAATGATATTCCTTTTCCTTATTGCAAAATATTCAACATCTGTGCTTATAGCATTGAACGTATATATTTGGTTTTCCGTTCGTTTTTCCTCTTTTATATTTGAGAATAAAAAAACAAACCTTCATCACTTTTTATTGAAAAAATTAACAGAAAAAAAAAAGAAGAACATAAACAATAACAGTAGTAAGCAACGAACAAACCAAATGGAACAGAGATTTAGAGTTATTTTCACGGAATTTTCTCTCCAGTATCATACGATCGATAT